TCACACATATTCCTTTGTGTTATGCAAAAATAAATGAATGAATTGTCACTGATATTTTTGGATGCATTTTTCCCCTTACTGACTTGCAAGGTTGTATTGAGTGCTTAAAAAGAAGGCTCAAGAAGCTTCTTGAGTTCCAAAACAACTGACAGAGTTGTAGGTATTTAAGCCTTAGAGTGGGTGTCTCTTTAGAGATGGTCCTAGTGTTATTGACACATTATTAATCATACGAGTCATCACATAGGCCAGAGTGTCGAACCGCTGTAAGACATTGCCCTAAATACACAATAAATACATAATACATAAAAAATTTAGAGTAATTGCCAAAGAAAATGATGGAGTGTGCTACACTAACAAGATGTTGTGGTTGATTTGGTTGTGGGTGCTACTACCACATATGGTATGGCCCGGACCTGGCCCACACAATGTGCTTACACATGGCTCACATACCGCAAAGAATGCCCTTTGCTGGCCCAGATCTGGTTTGCCAGATGTGGCCCACACATGGGTCAGCACCAGTGTTGGGTAAGTTACTTTAAAAAAGTAATTAATTACTAATTACTTAGTCAATATTGTATTTAAAATACTTATCTAATTGCTGTGTCAGAAAAGTAACTTAATTTAACTAAATACTTCTTAAAATCCCTATAAACCTTGAGTGGGCAAACAATAGAAATTAATCATTTTTTTTTAAAGACAGTACGCAGCGGTAGCATCTCTTCCATAATGTAGCCTGCAATCATTTTTTAAGCTCACCTTCAGACGCTTTCTGTGCTGCTGACGTAAAATCAAGTTTTGCCCCACATCTTTATGCACGCTCATCACCATCCTCGATGAGTCTAATGACATGTCATCTGTGAACTTCACGATTGTACCAGACGGGTGCAGCGGTTTGCTTAGAGGGAGGAGAGGAGAGAGGAGGGCACAACCCTGGGAGGATTTTCTGGATGCTTGATGTGATTCTTTCCAGCCTCACTTACTGTTTCCCCTCTGTAAAATTCCACTCAGGTGTCTTGACATTTCTACTCAGAAGTAACTTGAAATTTCAAGATAGTCATAATGTGGGGTTATTGTGTCAGAATTTTGACACAATAACCCCAAATTATGACATAACTTACACTTTTGACCTATCGCTGCCTGTTAATTTATTTATTCATTTATTTGTTTACTGGCAGTAACAAGCGTCCACGCCCATGCAGCAGCGCTACTCGACACAACTGCGTAAGCATCCCTAGTGAGGACATGACAGAAATGACCTTTTTATTTGTTCCTTTATAATGTGAGTAAGCCGAGAAGAGGAACTGTGACGATTTTGCTGGACGTGGAGGAGGTTTTAGACTTTACCAAATATGGCAGTGTGGGGCGTGGGACCCACAGCCCGCAGACAGATATCGCTGGATAACAGAGGGGATGCGCCGAGGAACTTAAAGCTTTAACATTATTGTGAAATAAAACTCCTGGTGGCTCAGAAATCGGTAAGATCCCGCCTCAGAATGATATGTTGATCTGAAAGATTTTAAGTAAAACGTAGCAGCTCGTGTTTATCGCGGTCTATTCTTGGAATAGAGCTGATTACAAAGGCATAGCACCGAGGCGCGGTATGTCCGCTATCTGACATGGAAAACTTCTTAATTACTCAGTTAAACGGTTGATAAACGCCTCTGTTATACAGAACATACTCTTAGAAATAAACACGCCTCCTCTGGTAGGGTATCTGCATGAAAACGAGCATAGATTTCTTTCATAGCTTTGTTATTTTAAGAGAGGTAAGAAATCCTGCAGTAGCCTATTTGATTTAACATAACCTGTTATTTGTGAGAAACTTTCTTTGCCCCCATTTTACAACAGTGTGGGTGGTTCCCTTTAACTTTTAAGCTTTATATGGCACTACCCTCTCGACTGGGTTGTGTTAAGAACCGAGGTATGCATGGTATGCGCGCTACCAAACCAAAAGCGTAAACCCAAACCTGGTTTCCTGTCAGCAGAAGAGGCCACATAA